CAATAAATAATGCAGAGATTTGACAACATTTCCATATTCCTCCTTTAATGTCTGAATGTCTCTGACTTAATCCAAGTTCCTTGGCATTTATTACTGTTTGTTACACTAACAAGTGAGATTATGAGAATTCTAATGAAGGCTTGCAGTGAAAAACTCTGTGATTAAAATGCCATAATAACAGTTGCATGCATTTATGTGCCTGATTATCATAATCTATTTAGCACAAGTAAACATACAAACAGAAGGAGAAAAGCAAGCACACTGACACTTCAGCTAAAGGAGAATTTAAAATGAGGGAGAAACAATGTAAATATGTAAATGTCTTTGTGTATTCTTTTTATCTTTTTTTTTCTCATCCTTGCTTTTTTTCTGTTTGCTAATGAGACATCTATGCTTCGTCACATGTGGTCCCTCTTTGCTAGGCCGAGGTGTGTTTTTGGGCCATCTGCTGGGGCCACTATCCTACACAATACCACCCAGAAAGCATGGGATATATTTGCAGCAACCTTTGACATCAAGGAATACAAGAGATGGTGTCGTACAGGCTACAGTCTTTGATATGTTCATTCTGAACACTTAGTTCAGCTGTTACTCCATTAATGCAAACCCCAGTATGACATGATACGGCTACAGCCCCCCAAAACTGTCAACAAATTAAAGCGAAATCATGTCAGATTCCTAACATAGGCTTTTGCTTCTAAGGCTTTATTAAGAATGTTTCCTTTGCATCATAGATGGGAGAACAGTTTGGCTAAGAGAGTTCTGCTTCTGTCAGGGCATTTGAATAACTTTAAAAATGCAATGCTCAGGACTGTCACATCCATTCATAGTAATAGTAGTAGTATATAATGTCATTGTTGTTATTTGAAAGATGGTCACATGTAAAAGAACCATGCAACCCCATTGTGAAAAGCTTGAAAAGCTTGGCAAAAGGACTAGACATCATTAAGAACAGAAACAAGAGAAATATTTGAACTAAATGAAACATATATTAATACATTATGGACACGGGGAGTCAAAGGATTTTTAGAGCAGTTTTCTACAGAGCACAGGAAGGAATTTGGAAAAGTTATCAAAGAAAGAGCAAACCAATTGTCTGCAGGAAATATTGTGCTCTGTGAGCATTAGCATAAAAAACAACACACACACATACATACACACACACACACACACACACACACACACACAGGTGGTTTTCCCCTACATTAAGCTTTAACTTTATTCAATTCCCGGTTTTTGGTCTTTAATGATGGTATGTAATAGCTGTAATAGCTCCTTGTTGTAGTTAGTTAAATTTTAGTTATAAAATGGATAAGTTATTAGGTACAATGTGGAATAGCTTTCTACTGACAAAAGGAGAAATATAAGAGTAGTGAAATTATGATTAAGCAACCAAACATAAACTTCAAAATTGTAGATAAAACTCAGTACCCTTTTCTACCCAAAATAACAAAGGAGAGGAAGTCTTTGAGGCTTCACCCATATAAATGAGGGAACAGCCTAACGCTCTGGGATATATACATCACTGGCAGTAAATTGGGTGCAAGTCTATTTACATAGTGAAGATTCAAAAAACTTCAGCCAAGGCTCTGCTGAATGTCCCCTCTGTGTTAAAACCAATGGTTACAGAGTTAGATCAGAACTGAGTGCTTTAGATAATCCTGCCTTGCATCACTATAAACTGTAGCGTAATCAAGCAAGTGGAGGGAGGCCTTGCCTGTACTTCCCTTGCTCTACAGCCAGAAGTTCTGGGGGCAGACAGCAGCTGCTGCCACCAAGCTGCCAAAAGTGCACACACATCTGTGCATTTCTGGATGCTGTGCATGGCTCCACTGCATCACTTGTACTGTCTGAGCACAAAGTACTTCCAGGGAAGGCACCAGCCGCTGACAGGGGGTGCAACAGCCAGCAGAAGGCACAAGATTGTCTACGCATGCTTTGTGCTGACTGCTGGACAGCGGCAGAAACCTTCCTCCACTCCACAGAGATGGTTTAACTCTACCAGCTCTTCTAAGGAGGGATCAGAGAAGGGCTCCGAGTATGGATGCACTCAAGGCTCTGCCAGCAAATGTTCATAGTGTAGACCAGTCCTGAATTTTAGCCGTAACTTTCTTTTCTGGTCTCTGGCACTTTAAAAACCAATATTTACAGTTGTGCCAATGTTTTTATATCTGTGAATTTTCTTCTGATTTTTTTTTTTTTTTTGGCCACAGTAAATTTAGTTGGAGTTGCATACCCAGAGTTCTTTTGTAATCAAGAACATTCATCATTATTTACTATTTATAGTGGAATAGCAACTCAATGCCTACTTTAGACTCAGTATCCACATATTGTGGTTTCTGTATAATGGAGAATTCACAGTCTAAATAATATAGATACCAAGCATATATGGACCTTTCAAACAGTGCCTATAGTTTTTACTTGCCTAATACCCGAGAAAGATGGTGTCTGAATTTTTATAGATCATAGTAACAGGTAAAGTAAAAATGCTTACATAGTTTCATCGTTTCATAGTTGGTAGGGTCAGAAGGGACCTGAGCAGATCATCAAGTCGGACCTGACCAGTGCCGCACAGAGGGGGAGGACCACCTCCCTGGACCTGCTTGAGTTGCACTTTGCGATGAACGACAAGGTGGTGTGGGCCTGCCTGACTGCTTCCCGACACTGCTGACCCATGTTCATCTTGGCATCAATGATGTCTCCAAGATCCTTTTTACCTTTACACAGCTATAAAATGAGCTGTTGCCTAGATATTACTTTTCACATAACAGAAACAAGACAGATTACAGCTCCCAGTACACTTTGAGCCTGTTCTCAGATTCATTGAAGTCGATGGGAATCTTTCAGTTAATGGACTTCAATAAACTTTGAATCAGATCTTCTAAATGTACTTGGTGAACTTAATAGCAAAACTCTTACTGATTACATTGGGTACAGGATTTCATTCTCTGAATACAGAACTCCTGTTGACTTTGATAAAAGTTGTGCACATAGGACAAGCACAAGATTGGCTACTATAGCTATTTGTGTCTCCAACTGTGAATTTTCCTGAGCTACATCATCAGCAAGCGGTAGCATGCTAATAAAATTTATTAAATATTAATTAAAATGCACTCACTGGAAATTATTTTCCAAAGTTTACATGTTTAGCTTTTTTAAGTCCTTGTTTTTAAACAAGAACAATTAATAATATGGACTGATTTCTCTTATATGTGGCTTTAAACTGTTTACCTTATAAAACACACAATAATCATCTTGCATTCAATATAGAAAATAAGAAGAAGAATTAAAAAGAATTTTATTCAATTTACATTACACATGGATATTCCTTTCCTCCAAAAAAAATCAAACAGTAAAACAGATTCTGTACTAGGAATATCTGAATTGAATTATTCACATGCAGATAGCCACCTACTCAAAACAAAGGGTCAAATCTTCTTTGTCATGTGCATGGTTCTATTCACACAAATTACAATACATCTACCAACTTCACTAGGAGGAAGATTAGGCCCAAAGGGAGAAGAAAAGCACAGTCTGATCTAAAATTTTTAATGAAAATGATGCAACAATCTGTTTCATTTTGGATATCAATGTGCTAGTAAATGGCATATTGAAACCAGATACTTTTTCTATTAAACAAAGAAAAAAATAATCCATTTTACAGCTTGTTTTTATCATACAAGTACCAGGGAAAACAAATCTGGTTTCACCTTGTTCATATCACCCACGTCAAATTTACTTGTTCATCTATTTTACAAACCTCCCTGAGTACACAAGTTCATTGTGCAAAAATCTAGCAGAAAACAAAACTGGGGAGAAAGGGATTATTTTGGGTCTCCCATATAAATCAAAAACTCATTCAGGGCCAGATGCAAAAACCACTGAAGTCAGTAGATTTTGGATCATAATCCTCTGCCCCCCTCTAACTTCACAGATCATTTTCCAGAGTGAAATTCACCAATATGAAGGGAGCTCATACATGATTCAGGGATCCCTTAAATCCTCAAGTCAAAGGAGAATTTGAATGAGAACTAAGCTGTGTGGCGGTTTTGTGATCCTCATGTGCAGGACAACAAGTTGTTCCCGTTCACTCAGTCAGTCAGTGTAGCAACCAGGAACCAACCCAGTAATTGTCAGTGCCCCATCCCACTATCAGTCTGGAAGACCAGGCTGCCATTCCAAGCCTTGCACAGAACCATCACTGGAACTATTCTCAGTTTCCCAATCCTAACAGAGTGACAGTCAAAGCCTGTCAGGAAAGGACAACTTCCTGGGTGTTTGTGCAGCTACAGCTTCTAGAATGAAGGAATCCTGATCCTGACAGTGGCCTTTAAGAAGTATCTCATTACATGTATATTAACGGTTCAAAAAAATAACACCTAATAATGTCTTAATAGCCTTTCCAAATGATTCAAACATGAAAGCAATAATCTGATTTTTATTAGGCTATCCTTCCATCCCATCTCCTGAGTGTCTCCATTCATGCTCTAGTTACCTATAAGTGTGATTTCAAAAGCAATAAATATTCATAAGTAATCAAGTGTTCTCTGTTCCACATTTTGTTGTCAAAAGCAACTTGGGGTGAATGGCTCCTCTGGGAGTCCTCTATTATTGACTTCAATGAGGCCAATCAAATGAGGAGCTGGCAATATCAGGCCCCATTGAACTAGGCAATAATTGCCCAGTTAAATTTCTTAGAGGGTCAGTCTTGTTCCCAAAGAACAACACGTGAATTTTGTGACTAGCTTCATGAATTAAGACACTCACAAGAACAGGACTGAAGCCATGATTTCAGCTGTACAGGTTAGAAATGCCTTCCTTAAACCTAGATGCAAAAATAACCTTAAAAAATTCCTCACCTCTCATAGCTTATAGATAGTCTCATATTTTAATGGCCTAAGGCAGCAGTGCACATGCTTGTAATTGTCCTAAGCAATGAAATGATGCTGCCTGCTGGTTCACTGGTAAAATGAAATGCCTCAGTATCCTCAACAAGTACCATGCTCATGAGTCAGGAAGCTTTTCCTAAACACCAGGTCAGTGGGCTGACCTGAAGACAGTGGTAGCTTGGGGTTCACAAGTGAGAGACAGAGTGAAAGCCTCACACACAAACAGCTGAGAGTGGCCAGCTACCTCCCAGCCTCCCCAGCAGTCAAGGCATCACCTTCTACAGTCTTTTGCTACACTGCAGCCTCCAGCTTTCCCCTGTCCTGGGTCGTAAACTGTGGCAGAAACATGGGATAAGGTAACAGGAGGGAGTACATTTTGCGAACAGGGATTGTCGGTTTTGCTGGATGCAGCTTCCAGTAGGGGTTGGTTTGCTGTGCCATGAGGATGATTAATATAATTGCTGCTGCTGCTGCTGCTGTTGGATGATGATGATGTTCAGGACCATCACCAGTGACGGACTACAGCAAAGGAAAATTTGAGCATCACCTTCCTAGCCTGCCAGGCAAAGGCATATCATATCACTCTGGCCTTGTGTCCCATTTTCAGGAAGAGAAAAGCAAAAACCAACTGGTAGGCAGTAAGTTTAAAATGAACAAAAGGACGTTCTTCTTGACACAGCGTGTCATTCGTGTGTGGAACTCCTTGCCACCACGTGTCGTGGAAGTTGGCAGGTTAGCTGGATTCAAAGGGGATTGGACAGATCCTTGGAGGGAAGGTGCACTGGTAGCTACTGAGGAGTTCAAATGTGAGTGCAAAACCAGTGTTCCTAAATTACAGTCACACAAGTTTAGGGCTGGAAGGGACCTCGTGAGATCATCAGGTCCAGCCCCCCCTGCTCTGGACAGGAAAGCCTGCTGGGGTCAAACAACCCCAGCAAGGGGTTTTATTAAACAGCACTTCAAGTCAATGTTGCAGCGATTTCACGTACTGACAGCCTTTTCCAAAACCCAGGGCCATGTTTTCTTACAGGGCAAATAAGAATGCTCTGAATCAGAATTTGCTAACCCTAAATCCTGGAGACTGAAGGGGAAGGCGGGGGGAAGCCCTGCCCATACCCAGTTCCTTCTCCCTTTCAGCCTCCACTCTGCCCCTGAGAAACACAAGAGAGGGGCAAGGGTCTGACCCAGTCAATGGCACTTCTGATGTCAAAGCTTTCCCGCCCGCGGCCTCCGGGGCAGAGAGCATGCAAGCCCCCGGCTCCCTGGGGCCGCCCATGCGGAGGGGGAGAGGAGGGAGGCCACATCAGGCCGGCCTGGAGCTCGGAGACGAGGGGCTCAGGCGGGGCGGGAGATGCCCGCCGCCGGGGCATCCCCTTGCAAGGAGCCCGGCGCAGCCTCCGCAGCGCAGCCGTAGGGGCACACCCGAGCGGGCGCGGGCGCTGGCCGCCGCAGCCCTCGGCCG